ATGTTGAAGAACAAAGATGTCAGCTTGAGGACTAAGGTGCACCTGACCCAAGCCATGGTATTTTCAATAACTTCATATGCATGTGAAAGCTGGACAATGAATAAGGAAGACTGTAGAAGAACTGATGCTTTTGAGTTGTGGTGTTGGAGGAGAATACTGAAAGTGCCATGGGCTGCCAAAAGAACCAACAGATCTGTGTTGGAAGAAGTGCAGCCAGAGTGCTCCTAAGAGGCCAGGATGGCCAAACTTCATCTCTCATACTTCAGACATATTGTCAGGAGGGACCAGTCGCTGGAGAAGGATATCATGTTTGGTAGGATGGAGGGTCAGAGAAAAGGAGGAAGCCCCCCATTGAGATGGATTGGCAAAGTGGCAGCATTAATGAGCTCAAGCATGGCAACAATTGTGAGGTTGGCCCAGAACTGAGCAGTGTTTCCTTCTGTTGTACATAGGGTCGCTATGAGTTGTTACCAACTTGATGGCACCTAACAACAACAAAGATCGGTGTTCATATGACCAAGCCTACTGGCCATGGTGAGGGGTTTTCCCTCAAGGAGCCTGGTGAGACCACCTCTCTTAAGCTGGGTTCGGGGTTCTCTCCACACTCCCACAGGACATGCACAGGAACTTGATCGAGTTGACCCAGGCATCAGGAACGGTGGTATCTTGTATTCCACTTCCTTTACGGGTCAGCAGCTCCACTCTACCTAAACGCTGATGGGTCCTTCCTCTCCTTTGTAAATAGGTGTTTGGGCCCTGGCTGTGCTGCTCAGCTCTTTCTTTGCCAGTCAGCCCTCTCTTCACGCAGTGTCATCATGGGATCGACAAACCTAGTCTTCTCGTGGCAAGGCTGGGAGGGGCTGGGAGTGCTGTCCCTGATGATGGCTCTGTTTTCTGTCTTGAGTCCTTTGTGGGGAAAAGACTGAACCCTGGTAATTTTTTAGGTCATGACATGACTATAGTTAGGCGACAGTTAATTGCTACTAGAAATTTGGTTTGGAAGTTAATGTGCAAGTTTGGAAAGAGAATTCAAATATCCTTGATATATGTTATCCTTTCTTTATAAAAGAAATCTCAGTGCCCCGGTGCTGGCCAACATGTCAGAACCACTTTCCCTGAGCACACACCAGTACTTCTCAAGCCTAGCTCATACTGGAACCATCTGGTGAGTGCTAACAAACCCTGGTGCTAGGATACCACCTCACCCCAATCAAATCAGACCCTCTCTGCAGGAGTGGGACATGGTGCTCTAACTTTACATACAAAGCTCAGTCCCTCAAATTTTAGCTTAGTGCCTGGGGTGACAGGTCCCATAATGGCCCAGTGTTGCTGGTCAGAAGACCAAGTAGGCCTGCGCATCAACCAGTAAGCTGGCTGGAGTCAAGAATCAGAAGAGTCAAAACCAAGTGCTATCTAGGAAGGCAGGAAGCCAAATATCATTTCAAATGGATCCCTGGACTCCAGACATCTCCTTTCATACCTTCTCCTTCCACCTGTCCCTTCACTACCATGTCTGCCTTGGGCCTCTTCTCATCCCTGCCCACGTGCTCAGCTTCAATAGCCTCCCGTATCTCCAGCACTCTTGCCCTGGAGGTGACACCTAGTGTCAGCCTCCAGCCATGGATACGCAGAAACAATGCTGCCACACCTGATGGGACCTGACCTCTCACACTCAGAAGTAAACAGGGCTCTTGCTATGACACATATTTGGCCGCTGGTGTTGTGTTATGAGGACCAATCCTATTACATGCATTCACCTGTCCTAGACCCACCAGCTCCTAGGCAGGAAGTGTGCAGCTGGGCATGCCCAGGGGCCTACTGTTCTCCTCCCCAGTCCTTAGCCCCATGCTTTCCTTCTATTGCCCTTCCCATCTGGAAGTAGGACCTCACCAGGAGCCCCCATAACGTGCATGGAGGGGAAGGTGAGGCAGTCAGCTCTGGCCACTTTCTGGTTCCCCTAGGGACCCAACCCTCAAAAGTTTTCACCTCTGAAGAAATGTCCGTCTGGAAGTAATTTGTTTCATTTTCCTTATAAGACTCTTAAAAGCTTCCTTTAGCTGCAGAATGTTCCCCTGGAAAAGAGAAAGTGTGCTGCCATGGAAGAGGACAGGACAGGTGCCCTGTCATTTTCCCCAGGAGAGGTAGTCCTCTGTGACCTTGAAGTGCCCCACTCTCCTCAAGAGTCCAGCTGATCTGGGCCACCACATCTCCTTTTCTGATCCTAGTTAAGCTGACAACTTAATTTGTAAGCAGAAGCCCTTTACTTTTACTGGTACTAAACACTGTGTTTAAGAAGGTGACAGCGGCGGAAATGCAGATTCAAGGATGAGCAGTTGTGAAAATGACCAGCACTCTGCCTGGGTCCACATAGAATCAGGTGATGGGCTTCCAAAATCACTTGCAAGCAGAAAAGAACAGGTGACAGACTCAGTGAAATGGAAGGGCTCTGCTTGGTGCCTCTTACAGTCTTGGTTCCAGGGCAGGTGCTGAGCTGTTGAGCCACTGAGCCTCCTTCTGACTAATCTAGTGATGGGCTTGTCCTCAAGAGGGCTGTGCTGGGTGAGTGGATGGTGTGTCCAGGTCCAGAGGCTGGAGTCTGCACACTCCCATCACACGTGGCCTAGCTGAGATCCTGACTGGGCACACAGGGCATTCTCAACCCTGCCTCAATTCAGGGAGCAGTGGCAAGAGGCACTAAAAACAGCAGAATGTCTAGAAATCAGCTATGTATGATGTTGGCATAAGTATTTCGATGTGTTTCCTAAGAAAGCTGTCTTTGCGCCATTGTTGCTCAAGTCCTATTATGAGTGATTACTGGTAGTATGAGTGCCCTGAGTTCTATCTCTGTCCTCCCTGGGAGCCGGCTGAAAACCATCATGAACGGCAGTCACAGCTTCGGGAAATGCAATCAGTGCACTGCTTATCTGCTATAGTTTCTTCAGTTTTCTCCTTTGGAAGCACAAATCCCAACTCTCAGAAGAATTCCCGGTTCCTAGTCTACAGACAGGTCAATCGTGTTTGAAGTACCCAGCTCCTTGCCTAGAGTCCCTAGGAGTCTGGGCTGCCCTTTCCTGGGCTTGCCTGTACTGGCCCACGTACCACTTCAACTCTTGAACCCAACCCACATGTCTGCCTTCCGAGGATCCAGATCATGTGGGCCAACTCCCGTTATGTCTACGCTGGACGGTCAGGTCCTCAGTGTCAGGCAGGGTTTGGCCTAGGGCCTGCCTCATCAGTGGCAGCAAGCTAAGGTGAATAAATGTTCCTCACCTGGGCACCAAGGTTGGGTGTTATGACTCATCAAGGCTGGGGAGTCATTTTGGACTAAAAAGGAACAACTGATTATTGTAAGGAGCCCTGATAGCACAGTGTGCCAAGCATTGGGCTGCTAACTGCAATATCAGAGGTTCAAACCCAGCAGCCACTCTGCAGGAGAAAGATGATGCTCCTGTAAGGATTTCTAGTCTTGGGAATCCTAAGGAGCAGCTGGACTCTGTCCTGCAGGGTTGCTGTGAGGTGGAATCCACTCGATGGCAGTGGGTCTTTGGGATGACCATTGTGGACGCATGGGGAGCTGATGGTGTGAACCGTAGGACAGCGCCCTGTCTGTGCTCCTCTGTGAACAAGGCCCTGTTTAGTTCTTACCTGGTCCCTGATGCTCTGAGACGCACTCATGGCATGTAAGCTGCAATCCACAACCACGCAGGCTCGTGCAGGCCTAGGCACCGGAGTGTTCAGCAGCTCGGGTCTAAAGGGAAGGTCAGCAATGATGGGCATGGAGAGCATCTGTGATCATGCTTGGGGAAGAGGAGAAGTCTGAGAGAAGACAGAAAGGCAGTGTAGCCTGGGGAGGGCAGTGCAGTCTTGGGCTGGACCCTGGTCTGTTTCGGGGTCATGAACCCTCACTTCACAGGAGTGCTGTGGAGATTCAGAGCTGAACACTTCACACACTGCCCGACGCTCCACTTTTCAGTAATGTGTGAGTGCCGGCCCCCTCCCATCGGGGACCGCGGGCCTGCTTCCCAGCTGTGTTATGTGCCCTTGACGTGTTCTGAGAGTCTCTGCTTCCACCTTCTATGGGATTCTAATTTCAGCATTTCACAGCTCACTTTCGAAATAGCATCTCTCATCCCCCGGTGTCTGTGCACATTTCAGAAATGCAAACAGCCTCTCTCTGAGCGGGGCATTGGCTCTGAGTCTCACTTTTCCTGGTAACACATGAGCTGAGGAGAGCAGCAGGGGTGGGAGGGGGTGGGGAGTGTAGTTTCCCAAATCTGGTCTGAATTCAGTGAACATGTAGTAAGCACCTACTAATGTGTTAGATATTTTTGCACTGGTGGCATAGCTTAGCTGATACAGTTGTCCCCTGAGGGTGTCAAAGTCCCCATTTTGCAGTAAGGAAGTGGAGACTCCTCATTGCTGAGATCTTTACCCAAGTCCACCAGCAACAGTGCTGGGGCCCCATCCAGGCCTGTTTCCTCGGCCACACTAACGTCTAATTGGGCTGGTAGCTCTTTTTATTTCCCTCCAAGAGAAGCCAAGTTGACAGACAGCTTCATTCCAGGCTCTTCCCTTCTGGGCTGTCCTGCCTCACTTCCAGGGAACCAGGAGGGTCTGCTCTAGCCATGTATTTTTAGTGTCCCCAGAGCCTGCCTAGGTAGCTCCTACAAATAATTCAAAATTGTAGCCATGAGTGGTTGCGGGGAAGACAAGCCACACAGCCTCCAGAGCAGGCAGAAATAGCCCTGGCATTTCTGCTGCCAGGCCTGGGCCCACCTCTCCCACTCACCTACTGTGGACAGGGGTCGGTGCTGTCAGTGCCTGACTGAGTCAGGATAGAGAGTGCCTTGGAGTTCTATCTTGAGCACCCAGACCCCAGGAAAAATCTGGCTGATGTTGAATTTGGGTGTCATTTTCCTTGCTGAATTACAAACTTCCCTTGGGGAAAACTAGGTGTGGATTCCACTCATATTCACAGGTCCTGTCTTCCCTTCATCTAGGTCATCCTTGCGAAAGTACTCAACTTTGTCCTGCCAAACATGTCCCTGGGGCCAATCGATTCCAGTGTGCTCTCTCGGAATAAGACAGAGGTGAGAGTTATTTTCAAAAGTAAGGGCGGGTTATTTTGAAAACCAGGGTGGTGGGGAGCAGCCCTGGAGGTACCCCAGAGTTCTGTCTCTGCCCTCAGCATGCACCACCTTTCCCTAGATAACAGGAGCACAGAATATCATCTGGTTTCAGGGTCATGGGGGAGGAGTATAATGTTGAGCTGCACCCTAAATGTAAAAAGGATGTTGTTGTTAAGTACTATAGCATCGAGTCAGTCCTACTTACAGTGACCCAGTATAAGGTTTCTGAGGAGCAACTGGTGAGTTTGAACTTCCAACCTTGCAGTTCAAACTAACCTTGCTTATCCTACAGTGATGCATTATCAGTCTGGTCTCTTTTGGTGACAAGAGACAGAAACCCAAGCCAAAATGGTTAACGCCAAAAAGGGGTTTACTGGTGAATGACTGTAACTGAAGGTTTCAGACATGGCTTGATCCAGGGCTCAAAAGTCTTGTTCATGGTCTGTTTCTCCCCAGCTCTCCTTTGTCCTGATTTGGCTTCATCCCTAACCAGAATTCCCCAGGTGAAGGCCAAGATGGCCACCAATAGCTTTACCTAAACAGCCCCAGTAGAAAGAGAGCACACCTTCTTCCAGCCAAAGTCTCAGGGTCGATTCTAATTGGTGGATTGTCCAAGCCTGGGTGTGGTCTTCTCAGAAAGGGGAGAAGGAGAGATGTGAAATCTACCAAGCCTCACAGACTGAAAGTAGAGAAGGTGGTCCTTAAGGGAAGTCAGGATGTTGTTGTTGTTGTTGTTAAGTGCCGTCGAGTCGGTTCCGACCCATAGTGACCCTGTATAGGGTTTCCAAGGGTGTAAATCTTTACGGGAGTAGAAAGCCTCATCTTTCTCCCGCGGAGCGGCTGGTAGTTTCGAATTGCTGACCTTAAAGGTCCGCAGCCCGATTCGTAACCACTACGCTAAGGGAAGTCAGGATAGTGGTCTCAGAAAGAGCAAGAATGGATTCAGGTTGGGGGTGCCGAAACTGAAGGGGCTGAGGAGACACTACTGGTGAAGGCCAGGCTTGGAGCCATCAGAGAACGGCAGGAGTTCTGTTCATTCAGAACATAGAGAGCAACAGGTGGGGGTGTGGTGAGTGATACTGAGGTCAGATCATGAAGTGTCTCTAGAGCCCCCTCCTCCAGAAGCCATTGCCCTGGCAAGAACACATCTCAGCCCCCAAGATTCCATAAAAGCAAAATCAATAGAAAGAAATTCAGACAAGGAGGCAAAGCAGTTTTGGAAAAGAGATGCTGTCATTGTTGTCAACGAGTTCATTCCTGTAGACAGCCACGAGGCACAGCGTGGACAACAATAGGTCAAGGCCAGTCATGTGCCTAAAATGCTAGGTGTGAGCAGAGCCCAAACTCCAGAGATTGGGGTTGGTCTATGAAAGTGGTGGTCAGCAAACTAGCCCACCCCTAGCTAAGTTCAAGCCACTCTGTGTTCGTGCCTCCCTGCCCCTTGATTGAGACATTATGTGTGGCAGGTGGGGCTGACCTCATCCTTACAGCAGCCTTTGTGAGGAGGTGCCCTTTTGTGGAGTCAGCCTGAGAGTTTGGGTGGGGTTGGTCCTCAGCCAGGCTTTCTGAAAAAGGGGCCCCTTTGGGTTTGGCACCAGTTGGCAGGAAGTACCCTTGGATATCAGGAAGACACCTGAATGATCTTCAGGATTGAGCTAGTCATTTTGCCACTCTTCTGCCTCAATTTCCCATTTGCCTTAGAAGTTTGAACTTACTTCCCTACAGGCTCCCAGAGAATTCTGGGAGATGGAGGGAAGTTTTAAGGATGCCGCTGTGGACTCCAGGCCCTCAACGTTATCTAGTGAGAGGGCAGCTTGGGGTAATTAGTCAATGCATGTGGAGGAGGGAGATGCTCTACAGCAGGGTCAGGGGCTAATTGTGGAAGAAGGATATGCTGTACAGTAGGGTCAAGGAATGCATGTAAGAGACCAGGCTGGTAAGACAGTTAGGGAGCTATGGGGCCAATGAGCAGCCAGAGGGCATCTGGGCCACCCAAGACATCCACTTTCAACTAAAAACTTTAATTTAAAAACAGTGCTTCCCAAGCCCCAGCCTTGGTCTTTCTGAGAGAACATTTGGATAAAGACAAAACAAAAAGACAGTTCTGTTCAGTGAAAATGCACAGCTTCAAGACCCAGAACGACCAAAGCCAAAACGTGCTGTTTCACTTAATCCTGACAGAGGAGCTCCAGTTAACCCTGGCCACAGATGAGGAAAGAGACTCAGGAAGGTTAAATAACCCACCTGAGGACACAGCCAGTACTGGCAGAACTTGGATTTGAAAGCCCTGGTGTCGGCACCCTCATCCAGCTTGTGTTTATGTCTACGAGACTCATCCTCACCTCCTTGGCTTCATCCATACAGCCTTTGGCTAAGGCTAGTCTCATGTGAGGGTGTCTCAGTGGGAGAGGAGCTGTCCAATGGCCAGCACCCCAAGAATGGCTCATGTCTCACTGAGCATCTCTAGGAAAGCCAATTCTCTTTGCAGCAGATGCGCCAGGACAGCAGTAGATGGGAAGGGAGAAATCTCCCCCTTGGGAATCTCTGAGCAGGCACATCGAGGTGCAAATCCAAGTTGTTTATCTCACTACCTGAAAATAACGTGGATGAGAAAAGATAGAATAGCTCCAAGCTCTCTTTGTTTAAAAGTATCTAATTTCAGAACTTTTATCTCAATTTTGAAATCATGGAAAATTCCGTGGGCGGCTTTCTGGCAATGTGTGAGTCTGCCGTGGCCTCGCTGTGTTCTCACCCTGTGCACCCTCGTCTGTGTCCTGCACAGATGCCCAGCCAGCCAGCCAGGTAACTGGTGTGCTCACTCTGAAGCTTGGCACAGTTCCTGCCTGGAAGGTGGCCCGCTGTGATCAGCAAGGAGCAGGAGGCCCACCCTCCTCTGGGAGCTCCAGCCTGCACCACCCTTAGTCTCCTTTGAACATGCTGCCTGTGCTAAAAATAGCAGTGCCAAGGGGAAAATGTGTTCAGAAAAGGCTCCTCCCGGATGTAAGGCACAGCTTTAGCTAAGATATTTCCCATGGAGCTTGACAGCTCTAAAGGCCTGGAAAAGAAAGAAACAGTTTGCCTAACAAGCTAAGGAAGCGGGCCCTGGAAGGGAGGGAAGGACCCAGTTGGAGGCCAGCACTGGGCAGATGCCCAGGAAGGTAGGCAGTTCTGTGTCTGGGAAGCAGCTGGGTTCTGTGGTCCAAGGTCACAAACAGGGTGTTTGTTGTGGGGGGGTGGGGGAGTGCTGCAGCAAGTGGTCTCAGTACTACCACCCAGTGTTGTCAACACTGCCCACAGAGGACAGGCTCCTCTGGCAAGTATGAAGCCCACAGATGCAAAGCAAGAGAACTGCCCTTATATGTCCTACCATGAACCCTGAAATATGATCACCCGCTCTTCTGTGCCAGACACTATCATCTTCCAGTCTCACCAGGATTCTGGGAAATTAGTCTTCGTACCAGCACTGTGCAGTTTCAGAAGTTTAAGCCCAGAGAGGACAAGTGACTTATCAAGGGACACAGCTCTCTCAACACTGAGCCAGGTGCTCATTTCCACTATAACTCTGGGGACGTAGAAATCGATACACTTAGGGTCCCGATAAGAACAGCAAGTCCCTTCTTCCTGGAAAGGCCTTGGGTGTAGTGCAGAGTTGTTCTCCTGTGAACAGGAGACCAGGGGGACAGATTGCTGAAGGTCTCCCCACTCCCCAACAGTTTGTCTGGTCCAGTGACTTCAATGTGGGATGCACTGCTTTCTGCCCAGCTGGCCCTATGAGCAGGTCATATCAGGGAGGAAAAAGCACCAACACTCGGAGCACAGCCACTGTTGACATGTTGAGGTGGTTTAATCTTACTGAGCCACTTCTTACTCTCTATAAATATCCCTGGATGCCCTCCAAGCTCATCCTGGCTAGTGGATATTCATGGCTGCCCAGCCATATGGTGAGTTCTCTGTTCTCAGGAGCCATGAGTTGCCTTTGATTTCTGTAATTTGATCCTGCACCTTTTCCCCTCCCAGCACCTCACACACCCCCTGTTCAGCATCTTCCTACACGTCCCATAGCTACTGTCTGTGGCCCTCAGAAGGCTCCTGTCTGGTGTTTGAAAACTTGACCATATTTAGCCTTTGACTAATTGTAACCAGAGCTAAAGGCAGATTGCAACATCCCACAGTGGTCCCTGGACCCAATGTCCACAGAACTTCCCTCTGAGAAGAAAAGGACTGGCTCACTTTTGAGACATCTACCTTGGTTACCTGATTCAGTCGGTGCTATCGCTCATGGGTTGTATATATTCCTCACTGTCTGTCGAAGCGCTGAAACTTAACCAATGCCTAAACTAGTGAGCACCCCCAAGGGGCAGCTCCACCGGGGAAGGGGTGTAGTCTGTGAATTGATCTACATGGTTGCTTTAGTCCCTGAACATCCAGGTCCCTTGATCCTCCTCCTCAAATTCATCCTGCACATATCTCTTTCTCCTTTCCTCTTCCGTTGGTTTGGGGAGAAGCAGCTTTGAGAGTCGGGCGCTGGGGAGGCAGAGCTGCTTTCACTATTGTGGAAAAGCTGATGACTCTGCAAAGACGCTGCCTGGGGAACTTATGGCCCAGCACACCCAGCAGGCCTAGCTGCACTTCCTCCCCAGAGAAAAGGAAGAAAACGTCCCTGAGCTAAGGGTTGCATCCCCACTTAGAGCTGAAGACCAGTTCAGATGTGGCCAGCTTACCAGACACAGCCTCACATCAGGTCCACTTGTCCCAAGGTTCTTACTGCCCCAGGCCTGTCCAAGGATGTTTGGCCGCCCCTACTGGTAAAGGAAATCCAAAAAAGAGTCATAATTTTACTTTCCCTCCAATTTTAATTATGACACTTCTCAAACCTGTACAACAGTTGACTAGTACCCATCTCTAGATTCACCCATTGCCAACAGCCTGCCATGTGTTTTTGTGTACCTGTATAGGAGAAT